GGTGGTTATGCTGATGGTGTTGATGATGCTGATGATGTGCGATTTAGATGATGCTGATGCTGATGCTGATGGTGCATTTGATGTTACTGCTGATGGTGATGATGCTGATGATGATGGTGATGAGGATGCTGATGATGATGAAGATGCTGCTGCTGCTGATGATGCTGACCATGACGATGATGATGGTGATGCTGATGCTGATGCTGATGCTGTGATGATGATGATGATGATGATGATGATGATGATGATGATGATGATGATGATGATGATGATGATGATGATGTTGATGCTGATGCTGATGATGATGATGATGATGATGATGATGATGATGATGATGGTGATGGTGATGATGATGATGATGATGATGATGATGATGAGGCTAATAATGTTGCTGCTGACGATGATGACTCTGTTGATGATGTTGAAGAGCATAGCCTTGGAGCTTGACTTGAAGACGCTGGGCCTTGTAGGTTTCGATAAGGTTCTTAACCTGGACAGCTTGTCGCAGGGTCGGAAGAAGAGCAAACGCGTCGATTTGGAAATGCGGCGAGACGCTACTTTAGCTGACGATCAGTGAGACGTGTCCGATTCCTTTCTCGGTCATCTCTATAATACTGCTTCGGCTGACAATTTATGGAAGAGGTCCTACACCCTCGAGTTTTCAGCCGACAGCGAGACTTTGGTCATTGTCGTTTCGGGCAGCGCAGCGGCCGGAGACGCACACAAGGATATCACAGCCAATGCGATCGGGAACATTTCAGAGATGATGGTGGGATGTGATTTGGGTCCCAGGAGCAGCAATGCCAGCCCCAATTTGTCAGGGCGAGGATTCAATAAAGAGGCAGAATTCGTGGCCAACCTGTGCATGGAAATCCATGCGGATTTCGAGTACGTCAGCGAAGATTTTCCGAAACACCACATGGGTGGCATAGCGGGTATCAAGGGCTGGAGCGATGGAGGACACTGTCCAGAGTACGCTGCATCGAGCTACGCGTCGGTAGTTAGAGAGTGGACCGAAGAGCACGGACCACGCATACAGTGGGGGCGCGCATCAAGACACCATATGCTTTTCGCCAGGGTATCCTGGGTTTCTTCGCTCCTCGCGTTGCGCGGCGACTTCCCGCAGCCGTTGAAGGAGGTACTGCGTTCAGGGTGCTCCAGGTTTCCCTTCAAGTGCACCTCGCGCACGGGTTCTCAGGGTTGGGTTTTTTGCGAGGGTTTCTTGCGGCCGCGCCAGCATTGTACTTGCAGGTGGGGGCATGTTTCAAAAGTAAAGTGCGAGTAGCAGTTTTTAGGTGGAAGCAGAAGCTCTGGGCGAAGTTTCGGAGGTACGTTTGTGAGTCATCAGCGATACTGTCAATGTTGGCCAGAAGCGTTCTACACTATGCGGTAACAAGCGGACCATTGTGTTCGAGGCCTTGGTGAAGATGTGAGGTGGCAGGTTCCAGGGCAGGCTCGGCGAGATTGACCTCAATGCCGATGGACACCGACATCGAAACGGAGATGATGATGCTGCTGATGATGATTACCACTTTTGATGATGATGACGATGATGATGACGATGCAAGTGATGACGATGATGATGCTGATGCTATTAATGGTGATGTTGCTGCTGATGATGCTGATGATGGTCATTGTAATTGGGCTGGTAATGACGAAGATGAAGGTGATGATGACCATGATGACCATGATGATGGTGATGCTGATGATGCTGATGATGCTGCTGATGCTGATTCTGATGCTGATGCTATTGCTGCTGCTGATGATGATAATGCTGATGCTGACTATGATGATGATGCTGATGCTGCTGTGCATGATGATGGTGGTGATGACGCTGATGATGACGATGCTAATAAAGCGAATGATGATGACGATGCTGATGATGCTGTTGCTGATGATGATGCTGCTGCTGATGATGATGGGGGTTGGAGATGAGGAGAAGGAGGATGCGCAGGATGAGGATGCCGATGATGATGAGGAGGAGGAGGAGCAGGAGGAGGAGGATAGGGAGGAGAAGGAGGTGGAGGAGGATGATTAGGAGGAGCATGAGGATGCGGTTGTGATGAAGAGGAGGGGGAACGGGGAGGAGTGTGCAGGATGGGAGGAGGAGGGGGAGGATGAGGTGCAAACCCATCGTTTTCATTAATGGTGTACAGCACTCATTTCACACCTTCGTCGAGTGCAAGCAGCAGCTGAAGGGATGCATCGATCTCGAGCTGTGCCCAAGCTCGTTGTAAGGGTCAGAGCCCGCGTCCGGCAGGCTTTTAACCCACGACCTCGCCGTGCCGTTTGTTCCGACGCGCGGCCTTCCGTCCTGGGGAGGGCGCCGCGGTCACCAGAGCAAGCGCCGCCTCGGGTGCAGGGCTTGCCTTAGGTTTGCCGTGGGTTTGCTGCGGTGTCGGCGTCGTCCATTTGGGTGCGTCGAAAACAAACGGCGCGGCGACATATACAGTAGCTACTAGTGCCTGTGCCACCAATCCTTGTTTGGCCGATGTCAGGC